ATCTCTGCCTTCACCCTGCCTGTGTCAGAGCTGTCTGCCTGCCAGATGGCTTAGCACTCCTGTATTTTATCTCTGGTGCAGCTGGGTTTCAAAACTCCAAACTTCAGAGACCCCCGTGACATGGACCCACTCTGATCCTGTGGAGGAGAGTCTTGCTGCACAAACGGTGTTTGTCTCAGAAAAATGCTCAAAACAGTGGCTTGGATTTTATGATAAAGTGCAGCAGAGAGCTGGCACCAAGGCTTGCTGCTCTCAGCCAGTGTCCCCGTTTGTATGCTAGTGAACAGGGCAGTTCAGTGGTGCCCACCGGGTCCTCTGTCCCTGGAGAGGCTGTGCCATCACTCCCAAAAGCGTTCCAAAAAAGGAATTGTTTCTCCACCTGTGACCCAGGGGATCCTCAGACCATGCTGCCTGATCCCAGGTCTCTGCCCTCCTTCCCACCAGAGCAGAATCCTGCTAGATGTGACCCTGGTGATGGTGCAGAGCTCTAAAACTTCAGACTTTATGTTGCTTATAAAAACAGCCCCTCTCCTTTTCCCAGTCAATGGTCTTGGGGACATTTTTCTTGTACAATCCCCTGTGCATGTTTTCACTCTTTCTCTTGTTCCTTTCTACTGATGAGGGCTTCCTCCCTTCTGCAGCACCCGCAGTTCTTTACTCTCCCAAATCGACTTTCTACAGCTCCTACTTTCCATGAAGTGCTCATTTTTCTACTTGTAGACATGTGGTTTTGTTCTCTTAGTTCTCAAATTGACTTCTTGTGTTTGAGGGACAAGGCAAGCTTAGGGTCCCCCTACTTCTCTGCCATGTTAAATCCTCCAAAAATTTTATTTTTAGTTCTAGTTTAAATTTAGTCACATGTATTTAATGCTACTGTACTAGACAGTACAGATCTAAAGGATGTAGAAGTGAGACTATATTTCCATTTAGTCTAGTCCAGATAACTGTTCCTGATGTCTGTAGTCAGAAGTAATCTTGTTCCTGTCTGTAGATTTCTCATTGCTGTAACAGCTTACCCCCAAATTTAGTGGCTTAAATTGCTGGGTCACAGGGGAGTTCTAGTGTTAATTTTTTGAGGAACCTCCACACTGTTTTCCAGAGGGGCTGTACCAGTTTACACTCCCACCAACAGTGTAGGAGGGTGCCTGTTTCTCCACATCCTCGCCAGCATCTATAGTCTCCTGATTTGCTCATTTTAGCCATTCTGACTGGCGTGAGGTGGTATCTCAGTGTGGTTTTGATTTGTATTTCCCTGATGAGGAGGGATGCTGAGCATCATTTCATGTGTCTGTTGGCCATCTGGATGTCCTCTTTGGAGAAGTGTCAGTTCATGTCTTTTGCCCATTGGATCAAGAAAATGTAATATACCTATACAATGGAATACTACATGGCCATGAGAAAGGATGAAATCTGGACATTTGTAGCAATGTGGGTGGAACTCAAAGGTGTTATGCTGAGTGAAATAAGTCAGGCAGAGAAGGACAGTTACCATATGTTTTCACTTATAAGTGGAACAGGAGAAACTTAACAGAGGACCATGGGGGAGAGGAAAGGGAAAAAATATTTGGGGAGAGAGAGGGAGGCAAACCATGAGAGACTCTTGAATACTGAGAACAAACTGAGGGCTGATGGAGGTAGGGGAGAGGGGAAGGGGGGTGATGGGCACAGAGGAGGGTACTTGTTGGTATGAGCACTGGATGTTAAATGAAAACCAACTTGACAATAAACTATGAAAGAAAAAAAACCCGCAGTGTAGCTTAAAGGAACATTGAGTTCTGAAGATCTCAAGTTTCTGCAAGTCAGGACTCCAAAATGGGTCTTATGAAGCTAAAACCCAAGCATTGGCAAGATCGTGCTCCTTCTGGAGGCTCTGAGAATGAATCTGTTTTCTAGCCTTTGCCAGCTTCCAGAAGTCACCTGCATTCTTTGGCTTGTGGGTCCTTCCATTTTCAAAGCCAACAGTGTAGCATCTTCAAACCTCTGACCCTGACATTCCTGTATTCCTCTCAATTATGATGACCTTTTTTATTACAGTGTGTTAATCTGGATAATCCAGATAATGTCCTCACTCAAAATCCTTAATTTAATCTCACCTTCAAAGTACATTTTATTTTGTAAGGTAACATATTCACAGGTTTGGGGGATTAAGATGTAAGCATTTAAAGGAGTCATTATTCAGCCCACCACACCATTGTACTTATTCTGCCTTGTTTTATAGTTTCCCATGTGCTTTTATATGAGTCCTTTTCTATGAGCATCAAGTGAGCCTTAGTATAGTCTCTAGGTTAAAACTGTGGCCTTTGCACTATAGGCGCTCAAAATATATTTGTTGGAATGAATTGGTTAATGTTAAAAAAAGAAGAGAGAGTATTTGATAGATGCTGACTGAGTGAATAAAGCGTCAAGAGGGGTCTTGGTGCAGCAAATTAATTTTGAGCTTCTGCATGGGTTGAATGTTCACCAATTAATCAACACATGGAGCAGATTGGGGGGCACCAAATTGCCCACAAATTGATTGATCAATCACCAATAAAATATAGACTGAATGATTGTACCCTGCTCTGTTCACTTTAGCTCAGTGTGTTTTGGGCTAATAGGGAAGCCATGAGAAGCGAAAACCTATTTGCATAATTCTGTAGGAAATAGAAAGAAAACAAATTGGAATGAAAATCAATAGCTATGTCTGATGAACGCGCTCCAAAATATCACCAGCAAATTTTAGATTAATATATTATTTGATAAAGGGAGTTACTGTATAAAAATCTATGATTACTTTATTAAACATTTATATTTAATGAGTGAATAATTTACTGTAGTTTGGGTTTTTTTAAAGGACATTTCAGGATAAAAATTTTCTAGTTTAATTATTTATAAATTAGGCATTTGGTGTAACAGAATGACATTTTTTTCTACAAAAATTTAAACATAAACAACAGTTGGAAGGGTCATGTAACAGACCCTATGTACCCATCACCCATCTTACACAACTATCATCCCATGACCTGTAGTTTTGTTGTTGTTGTTGTTTTAAATATTTTTATTTATTTCTGAGAGAGAGTGAGAGAGACAGCGTGAGCAGGGGAGGGTCAGAGAGAGAGGGAGATACAGACTCTGAAATAGGCTCCAGGCTCCGAGCTGGCTGTCAGCATAGGGCCTGACACGGGGCTCGAACCCACGAACTGCGAGATCATGACCTAAGCGAAAGTCGGACGCTTAACCGACTAAGCCACCCAGGCGCCCCCCCCCCCCGTAGTTTTGTTTTAATCTGTACTCTATTCCCCACCTCCACCCAAACCCTGATTATTTTCTTCTTTTCTTTTTTCTTTTTTTTAAAAAATATTTTTATTTATTTCTAGGAGAGAGAGAGAGAGAGAGAGAGAGAGAGACAGCATGAGCAGGGGAGGGTCAGAGATAGAGGGAGATACAAACTATGAAATAGGCTCCAGGCTCTGAGCTGGCAGTCAGCACAGAGCCCGACACGGGGCTCGAACCCACGAACCGCGAGATCATGACCTAAGTGAAAGTAGGATGCTTAACCGACTAAGCCACCCAGGCGCCACAAACCTTGATTATTTTCAAGAAAATTCCAGAATCATATCATTTTATCCATAAATTTAATCATTTATAAACACATTTGGGCAGATTTGTTCATGTATTTCCTCATATTCATGTTGGCTTCCTGCACACTTTGGCGGCTCCATAATCTTTCTGACCTTTACTGTCTTTTCTTTACCTTACGTGGAGTTTTGTCCTGAAGGACAAAATATAACAACTAAATATGGAAAATGCTAAGCTAGCCAGACTTGTTTAATTTTCCTATTACTTCAATTCATATTTTAGAAAATAGCTTACAGAGTGGAAATATATGAGATTGCAAGTAAAGCTAAAACAATATTTGGATATTTGGGGGGGAGAGAAAAGGGAGCCCTTAACCACAGGGGAAATATGAGTTAATATGAATGGAAACCTCCAAGCTCTACCCTTCTTATTTTAGAAATATATTCAATAATGTTAAGGTAAGACATATATTACCCAGTTTAAGAGGAGTTTAGACAAAGTTCAGGACTACGGGACATTTTGAGGGAAAATATTTCTTAGGAATAATTAAGTGGTGCTCACATTAGAACTGAGAAGTAAGGGGGCGCCTGGGTGGCTTAGTCAGTTGAGCGTCTGACTTTCGCTTAGGTCATGATCTCGCGGTTCTTGAGTTCGAGCCCTGCGTCAGGCTCTGTGCTGACTGCCAGCTCAGAGCCTGGAGCCTGTTTCAGTCTGTGATTCCCTCTTTCTCTGACCCTCCCCCTGCTCACGCTGTCTCTCTCTCTCCTAGAAATAAATAAAACATTAAAAAAAAAAAAGAACTGAGAAGTAAGATATTGTTGAAGATGAGAGCCTAATCAGGAAATTTTAAGCTATATAAAATATGGTTTCATAAAATATAAAAGTATGACATGTTTCTTTTGTGAACTAAAACACTATCTTCCCCTATTTGTCTATAAGTGGAGATTATAAGTGACCTTCCTCAATATTTTAAATATATTAACAAAAGTATTCATTATCAGATTTGGCTGGGCTGGAGAAGGATGATAATATTATTATTTTAAAGTTATATGTCATTAACACTTATGATAATCTTTCTGCATTTCTATCTTTCTGTATTTCATTCTGCCTTCTTTTTGTCTTTACTAGGTATCATGCAGTATACCTGAGTCACACTATTTGATCCATAAATATGCAAGTTAAATATTTGGAGGAATAAATAAAATTAATTTCTGATTTTTCAAATCCAAATTTAGCATTCTAAAATTTATCAAGCTAAAATTCCCTGTTGTGCCACTGTTCTAAAGCAGAAAGTTTCTGTGTGCCTGTTCCATTCATGGACTCAAAGATTTTTAGCTGAACAGAATCTATGAAATGATCGAATTCAGTTCCATATCTGGAGCTGGAAGTCTGTAGATCAAATGAATTGCTAAAGGTAACACAACTAAAAAAGTGCCAGTTCATTGCTCACTTCAGCAGCACAAATACTAAAATTGGAACTGTACAGAGAAGATGAGCATGGCCCCTGTATGAGGATTACATACAAATTTGTGAAGCATTCCATCAAAAAAAGAAAAAAAAGTGCCAGTTCAGAGAAATGTAAGCAACCTTCTTGCCTTCCACATTGGTGATCCCCTCCCAGATATTACAAAAGAGGAAGTTTTTAAATTAAAAATTTTTATTTTATTAAAAAAATTTTTTAAGTTTATTTATTTTTGAGAGAGACACAGACAGTGTGTGTGCATGCGAGTTGCGTAGGGGCAGAAAGAGAGAATGAGCCTCACATGGGGCTTGATTCCACTTCCCTGGGATCATGACCTGAACTAAAATCGAGTTGGATACTCAACTGACTGAGCCACCCAGGTACTTCAAAGGTGATAAATTTCTTTTTTTTTTTTTTTAATTTTTAAATAGTTTATTGTCAAGTTGGTTTACATATAACACCCAGTGCTCATCCCAACAAGTGCCCTCCACCATGCCCATCACCCCCCTCCCCCTCCCATCCACCCCCATCAGCCCTCAGTTTGTTCGCAGCATTCAAGAGTCTCTCATGCTTTGCCTCACTCCCTCCACCCAACTATTTTTCTCCTTCTTCTCCCACATGGTCCTCTGTTAGCTTCCTCCTAATCCACCTATATGTGCAAATATGTGGTATCTGTCCTTCTCTGTCTGACTTACTTTGCTTAGCATAACACCTTCAAGTTCCATCCATGTTGCTACACATGGCCAGATTTCATTCTTTCTCATTGTCATGTAGTATTCCATGGTATAGATAAACCACATCTTCTTGATCCATTCACCAGTTGATGGACACTTAGGCTCTTTCCATGTTTTGGCTATTGTTGAGAGTGCTGCTATGAACATGGGGGTACATGTGCCCCTATGCATAAGCACTCCTGTATCCCTTGAGTAGATTCCTAGCAGTGCTACTGCTGGGTCACAGGGGGTTCTATTGTTAATTTTTTGAGGAACCTCCATACTGTTTTCCAATGGGGTTGCACCAGTTTACATTCCCACCAATAGTGTAGGAGGGTTTCCATTTCTCCACATCCTTGCTAGCATCTAGAGTCTCCTGATTTGTTCATTTTAGCCACTCTGACCGGTGTGAGATGGTATCTCAGTGTGGTTTTGATTTGTATTTCTCTGATGAGGAGGGATGCTGAGCATCGTTTCATATGTCTGTTGGCCATCTGTATGTCCTCTCTGGAGAAGTGTCTGTTCATGTCTTCTGCCCATTTCTTCACTGGATTGTTTGGTTTTCAGGTGTGGAGTGTGATGAGTTCCTTATAGATTTGGGATACTAACTCTTTATCTGATATGTCATTTGTAGCTATCTTTTCCCATTCCATCAGTTGCTTATTAGTTTTATTGATTGTTGTCTTTGCTGTGCAGAAGCTTTTTATCTTGATGAGGTCCCAGTAGTTCATTTTTGCTCTTGATTCCCTTGCCTTTAGGGATGTGTCAAGTAAAAAATTGCTGCGGTGGAGGTCAAGGAGGTTGTTTCCTGCTTTCTCCTCTAGGGTTTTGATGGTTTCCTGTCTCACTTTCAGGTTCTTTATCCATTTTGAGTTTATTTTGGTGTATGGTGTGAGAAAATGATCTTGTTTCATTCTTCTGCATGTTGCTGTCCAGTTCTCCCAGCACCATCTGTTGAAGAGGCTGTCTTTTTTCCATTGGATACTCTTTCCTGCTTTGTCAAAGATTCATTTGTGGGACAAAGGTTCATTGTGGGCCATTCATTTGTGGGTCCAGCTCTGAGTTCTCTATTCTATTCCATTGGTCTATGTGTCTGTTTTTGTGCCAATACCATACTGTCTTGATG